TACCTGCAATTGCCATGAAGTTGGCTTTGATCCTGTGTAGTTGTTGATTGTCCAAAGGAAACCGGATAAACTGTTGGATGATATGTGGTCTAGAGAGCGCGTTGATGGTTTGGTTTATGGCACAGCTGACTGATGGTTGCGATATTCCTAAATCGTCGGCATTGCAAAGTTGCATTTTCCCTGTTGCTAAATATCGTAGTGTTGCCAAACATTTTATTTCCGGACTAATCGGGTTATTCCTGTTAGTCGGGGATGTTATTGCATCCCGCACTAATTCCACAACAAGTTTGATACCCTCACGATTTAGCCTATATCTCTTGATCAATTCACAGTCTTCCATTGTCTCCAAAACATTTCGTCTCGCAGCCATTTTCAGATTCTTTGTGAATAGGTCTTACTGAGTTAGGAGTCCTCTCGAGGACTTTTAAGCTCTCCCAGACTTAGGTGCTACTTTTAGGCTTAAAATACTTTGTGAATTGCTCTTAGTGAATACAATTAGGAGTCCTAAATTTAAGACTGACACGCCCATTATGCTTAGGAGTTTCTCCTAAATTCGCCAGTTAGGAGCTACTTTTAGCCATAAAATCCTTTGTGAATACGGCCCCTGAAAATTAGCAGAATAGGGCCCTTTTAAACATATTTATATATTTAATTTGGAAGATGTTGTTGCAGAAATTGAATTTTGTTCTCATAAAATAGTCATGCTAAACAATATTTTGCAGAATCCACGAGGAGTACCAGTTTTTCTGAAGGTCAGCAGAGGGGCAACATGTAGCTAGATGAGCTGGCAGCTCTGTGTGTGTGTGTGTGTGTGTGTGTGTGTGTGTGTGTGTGTGTGTGTGTGTGAGTGATAGGAAACCTTTGAGGTACTGGATGAATAGTTTGTCTTCCTGGAGCCAGTGTTGCAGGATGGGAGGGGAACAGGAAGTGAATCACTAAAGGATCGGAGCTCACCAGGAAACAGGCTGCGTGCTGCTGGGGGGCCGATCCATGAGCCCCTGGAGCCTAAAGATAGAAAGGAACATTATCAGGAAAAGGGACAGCAACACAGTTAGTGATAAATTATGGGATTTAGGATTTTGGGTCAAAGGTGTTTCTCGATTAATATTTCCAGAACAGGGGAAGAAAATGTAAATAGTCAAAGGAAGGAAAGGTCAGTTCACCACCGCGTCAAACCCCCCAATGCTCCTGCTTTGCTAAACTCCACCCGTATGCTTCTTTTATAGCTTAAAATAACCATTTATGGTGGAAAAATAAAATTTAAACAATACCATTCAAACTGGATCTTTTAAATGACATGGGAACAAAATAACTCAAAAGGGTCTTTTTTTTTTACCCTCTTATGCTGAAAGACATGGAAACTTCTGCATATTTAGCCCCGTCTGCTGTCAACACCCTATAGAAATAACAGAATTAGAAGTTTATAAACACATCAGCATCCATGTGGCTTTGTGATGAGTTGTATGGATGGAGAAAAAAAGGCAATCTTTATTTTTGATTTAAGCAGCAAAACGGCTCTTTAAATATATAAACACAAAAATAAATACACAGAACAGAGTTTTTAGTGGTTGATCATGTATCAACTTTATTTAAATACTTTAACAACCTCACCTACAGTGTACAGTTAGAACAGGCCACTCCTTCAAAGAGAGGGTACTGGTCAATGTACATAGCAAGGAAGAAAGAAAACAAACAAACAACAAAGCTGTTAAAGGAAAGAACAAATCAACAGTAACTTCCACGCTCGTATATCTGTAACTCTTCCTCTTTACACAAAGGGAGACAAAGTGAATCTTTACACACAAAACCAAATAAAAAAATACGTTTCCCCTCTCTTCACACGGTGACAGGGTGTCCCACTGAGGGGAGCGGCAATCACAGACTCCGAACATATAAAATGATTCAGTTATAAATGTCAAGTGAGGAAGTAAATGTATCTAAGTATAAAAAAATAAATTAAAATGATCAACATTTATACATAAGACAGTAAATCCTGGCACCTTGTGGAAGTCAGAAAACACTTCTAAAGGCTCCTCTAGTGACCCTGTGTTTAAAGATTTTCAAACAAGCTAATAAGAGTAGGCAACTGCGGACCTCCCCCCCCCTCTTCATACACTGCACCTGACCTCACTGTGTTAATGGTGAAAGGAAACTGTAAAAGGGGAGACATTTTTAACACTCATCCAAACTGTGAATCCATCCCTCCCGAACATTTCCCCATGAAGTGTGCACCTCTTTATCTGCAGCCTGACAGAGAGCCATGTCGTAACACAGGCTGAGTTAAGGTCTGCTGTGTGCTTAGGCAGAGCCTGTACACAGATCAATGCATTCATAACATGTAGGTCCAAGTCCAGTTTCTGATTGTCACACTGTCAGCAGACACTAAAGCTAAACACTTACAAAGTGATGCTGCAAGGGTGCAAATCATTCTATACCAATAACCACTCAGAAATCTGCAGCTGTGTCCTGTATGCGTCTTTCCATTCCAAACAAAACAACCAAAAGCTAAAGGATAGAAGGTGAATCAAAGTGTCCAATTCCTATTATCCAACAGAGGCTGACAAATGATGGGTTGAACCTTTGGAAAACCTTTTGGGCACCATCATGCTGCTCTACTGATGCAATGGCTATGATGATGATGATGATGATGATGATAATCTTATCCGTCTTTTCTACCTTCAAGCTACAGAATCTCTTCTCACCCTGGAGCAAAAGGACTGATCAAAGTCAAACTAAGAAAAAGGAACGACAGTAGTGGTTATAGAGGCGCTCACTTCATGTACCCGCAGTTACCTATTTTAGGTCAAAGCTAAACAACTGAAAATGAACAGAATATGAGCGGCTAAAGGAGCTACAGACATTTAAAAACATGAATAACAGCCCTCAGAGGACACAGACTGACAAGTGCAAATAAGTAGAAAAATAAATACTAAAAAAAAACTGGATATAGATTTAGGTATTTGCAAATCTTTCTGTGACATGGTGGGTCAGACGGAAAAAATGAAAGCAGAGAGAAGGGTGCAAAGGCAGGGAAATACAGGGTCACTGGTTTCTTATGGGGAACAGGGATGGAGTCGCCTCAGTGTCATTCATTTAGTTACAAAAACACCACAAATGAGCAATTTGTTGAAACTAATTCAGAAGTATCCTTTTTTTCTTCTGTTGCCAAAAGCATTGTCAACATTGACTGTCCACAAACGGTAGACAAACATGTCAACCAGTTTAAAGGTGAGGAGGAAGGAGGATGAAAAACAGATGTGAAGCTAAAACATTCATTAATATAAATGTGTGTTTGCTGCCTTTGTAAATAACTGTTTTGATAAAGCATTGAGAAGAAGAGAATACATTTATTTATACATCAATACGTTTGTTTAAAATAGAGCTTTAGAGATTTAAATGTAAACCTTTTCCATAACGCAGGAGTCTTTTTATAGAATATGAATATGCAACACTGTGGTTAAATGTGTGCGTGTAGGTCTGTGTCTGAGAGTGTGCGAGTGTGCATGAAACACATCATGGGACATCAGTTTGTTCACAAAAGTTTGTCTCCTTAACCAGTCTTACAGGCAGCTGCCTCAGTGCGCTTCTCTTTCTCTTTACAGTTCGGTGTTCAGAAATGTTAAAACAAGCCATCCGCCCACATCATGATGGGGGTTAGGGTTCAGCGGTGGGGGGGGGTCACTGGCAGAAGGGCGAGGCAGTGGGGTCGAAGCCCTTGAACACGTCCTTCAGCGAGGCTTTGTCCTGCTCCGCGGTGCTCTGCTCCGCCTGTACCGGGCTGCTCCCCCCGAACGGGCTCCCCGTCCCACCGGGTTTGGCCGCCTGCTTCACCGCGCCAAATAAAGTGGACAATGGGAGGTTGTGGACCCCCGCGGGCCCCTGATCCCCAGAAGCTCCTGCAGGCCCCTGTCCTGCTGCTGCTGCAGGACCCCCCTGGGCTGTGGAGTTGGGCGAGGGTGCGGGTTTGGGCCGGGGCCGGTTGTAGCTGTTGTATCGGTCGGTTCCTTGCTCGACACTTTTTTCCGGCTCTGGTTGGTCCAGAGCGGACTTCCGGACAAACAGGGGCTCCTTGGACTTGGGTTTAGCCACGGGGTGGTCGCTGGGTTTGGACTCCACGCTGGCTGAGTTGGGGGAGTTGTTGGAGCCATTCCCGGCTCCAGGGCTACCTGGTTTGTTAGTCCTTGGGTCATACAGACTGATGTTGCTCAGCACGCTGGCTCCCCCTGCTGGCCCGGCCCCCACACCGCGGCCTGCCCCACCTGAGGAGAACATCCTGGGGTCATAGGGGGCGATGGGAGGGGTGGAGGAGCTGGATGGTGGTGCTGGAGAGGCAGAGGGTACAGGGGGGGGCAGGGGCTCAGAGGGTTGCTTCAGAGCCGACTTTGGAGGCTGGAGGCGGGGGTCCGAGGGGCCTTTTCGGGACATACGGGGGTCGACTGGCTTTTCTACGGGTGGGGGAGGCATGGATGGAGGTGGCCCCAGGAGGGACATAGGGGGAATAGGGGGGGGTAGGAGAGGAGGGGCATGAGCTATAGGACTTCTGACAGTTTGAGGTCGGTAGGTTCAGGATACGCAAGACAGCAGCTCAAAGTCTCGGAGGGTGGAGGAGAAGAGGAGGAGGAGGGGTGGAGGGGGGTCCAGGGGAGAGGAGAGGGTGAGGGTGAAGGGGAGGAGGATGTGAGTGAGAGAGCGACGGTTGGAGAGGCGGCTGAGAGCGGGTCGGACGTGGTTCTATGGAGGAGACGGGAGGGATTCCGGGGGGGAGTGGGAGGAGGTCCTGCTTTGGGGCCGGGAGGGGGAGGAGGTCCTCCGGAGACCAGGTGATGGTCTTGATGAAGGCTGGCATGTGGAGCACAATGTCCTTCTTGATGTGGCTGAACTGCTGCAGCTGTGAGCGGGGGTCTCTGAGAGCCATGCCCATGAGGGGGTCCAGAGGGATGGGGACCGGCTTGTCTCGTAGGACCCGCTCCGTCTCCTCCTCCTCTGCCGCTGACGGGGTTGTTAGGGGCGGGGGCTTGTAGACCAGAGGAAGCTCCGGTTTGGTTGCAGGGGGCACGTGGGGGGATCCTGTTGACACAGCAGCAGCTAGACGGGCTAACCTGGGGTCTGCTGGGGGTCCAGAGGAGGCTATAGTGGGCATGGGGAGGATGGAGTCAGCCGAGTCTGCACCACGGGCCAGACGAGGGTCCCGAGCCATGCGGGGGTCTGCGGGCCGGGGAGGAGGGTTGGCAGGAGAGACCTTCAGGAGGCGAGGGTCGCTCCGGGGGCCGTCAGATTTAGGGGGGGCCTGGGTCTGCTGACGGAGCGTCTTCAAGATTGACGTCACACTGCTCCCTCCGTCCTCATCCTCACTAGAGTACCAGTTCCCAGAGTCACCTGAGAGACAAGACACAGACGTGTTTACTTCTGGAACAGTCCGCTAGGAAACACTGAAACTACAGTGGACACAATCAGCGCTCTGATCCTGACAGCCATTATGTCTTAGTTCATTTAGGTTCAAATGCAGTAAATACTTTTTAAAGGAGAAAGAAAATCAGTGACAAGGGCAAAAAGACTAAAGAGAAGATTTGTTATTTAGTAGAAAATATTAAAAAAAAATCTAATATAAAAACAGCTTGGATGCAGCATTCTTTTCTTTATGCAATACGGAGCTATTGTCAATCCTATATCTTGGATTGGTAACTTAAATGTTATGAAGGCTGCACTTCACTGCGTTATCAATGATGTATAGTATAAATTAACTTCAGTATACTTAACTGAACCGTTAAAGGCACTATCCACCTTCCTTCACTATCATTTTGAGTGCAAATAATTGCCACACTAAACAATGTCAAATGACGATTTTGACTGAAAGCATTACCCTCCCCACCCACAACCTTTTCTGTAGATATCCTCCAAATATCATTATCGTAAATTCTTTGTGTGACGTTAATCGTGTAGGGAATATTTTATATCATGACAGCCCTCAGTGAAACATTTATTTAGCTGCTGATCAATTGGCAGCCACATTTGCACATCATTCCTATGAAGCAGAACCATGGAATGATCTAAAGTCAACCATCACCGTTAACATGTAATATGAAAGTTAGTCAGTAACACATAATGTGTTCAACATCAACCTACAGTCCTTTCCTTTTTTTACGACTTTCCTGAATCTCCCTCTGAATATACAGTGTTGTAGGAGGATATATATACAAAAGTGGAAATGTAAAATAAGTGACAAAGAGATAATGCAAAGGAGCACTACATATCACAGGAGTCATTTATACACCAGCCGCTCCCCTACCTTCAGCCTCTCGACTCTTCTCTGCCCCCCCCTCGGCCATCCTGCGAGCTCTCTCCTCTTCCTCTTGCTGCTTCTGTTGGATCCTCATGAACAGCACGCGCTGAGCTGGAGGCAGGAAGTCAGGCACAGAGATCCCTCCCTGATTGGCTGATGCTCCATTAGCAAAGCCTTCCTGGCCACCGGACTGATGACCAACGTTCCCTGCTCCTCCTCTCTCGTCCATGCCAGAGAAACCCTGGTAGTTGTCACCTGAGAGGGAACAAGCGTCAGCGAACCGTTTTTTTAACCACCACCAGATAAAACCTGCTGCTTATTCCCTCTGATGATGTAGTTTAATGATTAGAGCTGACTCACCTTCTTGCACCACTCCATCCATCATTGAGTCCTGCGGGTGGAAGAAGTTATTGAAGAAGTTTCCTCCTCCCGGAGGAGGCCCTGGGGGCATGGCTCCTCCATGAGGAGGGCCGTCACCAGACGAAAATCCTCCCATCATGGGAGGGGGGCCCATGTTGGGGGGACCCTGGTTCATCCCGTGGTTGGGGCCCATGTTCTGCATGTCAGGGGGCATCATGCCTGGGGGAGGAGGAAAGCAGGGTGGAGGGGCCCCAGGAGGCCCTTGGGGTCCCGGTGCTGCAGTCTGACCCTGGTTGCTACTGGGAGTCTGGCCCCTGAGAGAGGAAGAGAACAGGAATGAGGATTCACAGAGTGGATTTCAAAGATCTATAACAAAAATCTATAAAAGCAAAAAAATAACCCAACAATAAATTATTACTTGTAGAATATGGTCATGTAGAATAAGGCATTAATAAGTGTTTTATAATGACTAATGAAGAGCCAATATACTGCTAATATGCATGTTAATTAACAACTAGTTGATGGTGTTTGTGTACCTTAATATAAAGTGTTACCAAGTATTCTTTTAATGAACTAAATAAGACAATCTTTTCAGCTTTGTGATAAAATCACCAGCTGCAGTTTCCCCTGATGAGAATCATAACATTATTCTTTTATTTCTAAAGTTTGTTTTTGGATTTCGTACCTTACAGCCAGTTTGTGAGCCAGCTGTCCTGTGGGCTGGACTTTGATCTCAAATAGGGAGGGGATCTTCTTCCCGGGGCCACCACCTCCTCCACCACATGGAGGTGGGGGGCCCATGTGGGGAGGAGGGCCACTGGGATTTGGGGGCCCACCTTGGAAGAGATTTACATCAGGGCCATGGACAGGGGGAGGAACACAGGGGTTGGACCCAGGACCAGGCCCAGGCCCTGGGGGGGGACCTTTGTTGGCATTGGGCCCCTGGTTAGGTGGAGGACCCCCAAAGTCACCTGACGGGGACCCGCCAAAATCTCCGCCCCCTGTGTTGTTGTCTACAGGAAGGAGCCGGGGAGGGGTGGGGAGGAGGCCGACTCCAGGAGGGGGTTTTGGGAGGGGGTTGATGCCTTGCTTCTTCAGCTCCTCCACCTCCTTCTCATCCTCCGCTCCTGCCTCTGCATCCTCCGCCAGCATCTGAAAAACAAACATGTCCACACATAAGTTCATCGGAAATATTTACTCAAGGCAATAATTTGAACAAACGGTTTCTATTGGATGTTTATTAATTAAATTTGTTGTTGGCATGCATGTTTATTGTTTAGTTTTCTTTTTGTTTTGTTGTTGCCCTGTGCGGCATGCTTTGACTGTGCTATGTTTTAAGTGGTCATGCCAATAAAGCTCCTTTGTATTGTATTGTTTAAGTTAAAGAGCTTCACTGCATTTTGGATTTTTATAGAACCTGGACATTCATTTAATACTAATAAAACATTTTAAAGAGTTCACAGAAAGTAGGCGAGGCCCACCTTGTCGAGCAGGTCCTGGGTGTCTTCATTCAGGGCGTCATGGGAGAACATGCACTCGTCTCCGTTTACACAGTTCCCCGTGGTGTGGAACAGCTTACAGGGGAACTCGCGTGGCATGGGAGTCAAGGAAGAACACTCACAAAAAGAATTGACAGAAAAACTCAAATTGGACCTTTTTTCATGAGGTCATCATTTGAATTTGAGATTAAAGCAAACCTATATTTTAAGTTAAGAGGAATTTAAGTTATGTAACTTCATACTGGTAAAAACGTCAGCTTTGCTGTTGAAGGATCTCTATTTAAGGACACAACTTTAATTTGACTCTTAAAACAGTTACTCATCAATATATGCCCCTGAAAAAGAGTCTCTCTGCTGGGTTCACTAGTGAAGGATATCATGCATGTAAGGACAGTGGTCGGCCCGGGCACAGAACCCAGTGATGTAGAACTTGCACAGCTCCTTCTTCTTGGGCAGCTCAATGTCGTGGCTGAAGTTGCAGTGGTCCCCCTGTTGATTGAAAAATATCATGATGTAATTATTAAATGTAGGAGGGTGTGTACAGGGAGATTTTTCATCAGCCAAAACACATTCATATATCTATAGATCACTGGTGCCAGATATACAAATCTTAATTGAGCATAATTTAACAGCAACCATATATGTGTAGCTGTTTTAATATGATAATTGCCAGAGTTGTGCTTCCATAGATGCTCCGTGCGTAATATGTAGTATTAACAATAAAGAACCTTGAATGTTGGTATGGTGTGTTGTTATTTGGACGGTAAACACTGCCTGGGGAACAGAAATGGAAGCTGGGCCCAGATATCGACTGGCTAAACCACATCACTCAAAATATGAGCCCACAGGTATCGTCTTCACAGTAACAGATGATGTGTTCCTAGACTGACCAAACTGTGATATACGTAAATGTGTGCAACCTTACCCAGGTACAGCGCCCCTCGATGTAGTACTTGCAGATGGCCTTTCCTTTCTTATCCTGGTGCTTCTCATTGGGATTCCTCCTCATTGGTCCTGGTCCATCACCTCCTCCACCGCCGTCCTAAACCACAAACGAAGGAGGGTGTCATTAAGAGAAGATTTGTGTACATTGTATTGCTCACGTTTAATGAATAATTCTTACCCCGTTGTCCATGTCCCCGTTGTTGTTGTTGTCGTCATCGTTGCCAATGTCGCCTCTTCCTCTCCCCCGGTTTCGACCTCTTCCTCCTCTGAGCATACCGCGCCCTCCTTTACCTCTCCCTCTCCCGCGGAGACCTTTACCCCCTTGGGAAGACATTTAACACAGTGTGGGAGAGTGAATTTGGGCGACTTAGTTCATCAACAGCGTCAGAAAGTGACTTTGAGTCGAGAACATGAAGAAGCCCCTCGGGTCCAGACTCACCTCGGCCTCTGTCTTTGGACTTTTTGTACTGATTTGAGTACTCATCGTAGTCCTCCTCACCCATGTTGTCATAGTCATCATCTCCATACTGTGCGAACAGATTTCACACATTATTGAATACGGAAGCTGCCAAAGAAATTAAAATCGGTGCATCTCTAGTCCCAGTTGGTTGTAGAACATTCATCCTATTTTCTTTAGCTGAGGTTATATTAAAAGCAGCACACAGTAAATGCAATCAACCATGATAATACAAATTCAGAATTGGTGATGCAAGGACTTTGAATATGTGTTCATTGATTTGTCTTTTTTCAGATTATTATTCTAACAAGTCTGATTTCTCAATTATAGACAGAAAAAAGTTATTATCAACCACTGAAGATGTTTCATGTAGGTCCAACACAGAAAAAAGTACCCTCAAGTAAAAATTAAGGATATTTACATCTTCAACATTTTTTGGTTTACTGTGAATGTGAGTATATTTCAAAATATGCAAAATACACAAAATTAGCCGAGAGAATAGCGACTCTTTCCCTGGAGTTTGGCCGAATCAAGAAGACTTTGCTTCTTCATTCTAAATCTCACCTCCATCTCTTCTCCATAGCCGTCTCCATCGTCATTTTCCTTTTCTCCTCCCATCTTTCCTCCTCCTCCTCCGCCGCCTCCTCCTCCTCCTCCTCCTCCTCCTCCTCCTCCTCCTATACTTCCCCCTCGACCTCCTCTTCCTCTGCTCCCTCCTCTTCCTCTCCTCCCTCCCCTCATCAGTCCGCGGCCTCTCTGGGTTTTCATGCGACCTCTTCCCCCTGCAGAGGCAGAGAAATCACATGAGTGAGGAAAAGAGCAGAGTCAGATTCAGTGCCTTATCTGAATTGATAAGGAACTTTTGGAAAATATGTTCATTTGTATGTCTGTAAACTTATGAAGAATCTGCTACAAAGCTTTTGTCACGCAGCCACAGATTATTTTAAAAGTCTGTGCTCCTAAAGGCCAGTGAAATGTATATGGAACATACTTAACAGCACCTGGCCTTATATGCAATCTGCCTCTTAGCATTTCCTAGTTGTTGCATGTAATGCGCTGTGTTTAGTCTCACAGACAACTGGATTACATCTCATCTGGGTGAATATTTATTGTGCAGCAGAATATGTAACACACACCAAGTTTAATTCTTTAATCAAAGCTTTAACCCACCTCGTCCCCCACGTGGGCCTCCACCCTCCTTCGCCTTGCGGTACTGGTTCAGCTCCTTGTTGAAGTCATCATAGTCTTCATCAGCAATTTCCTCCTCTTCCTCTCCCTCAAAGTTCTCCTCTTCAAAGTCTTCGTAGCCTCCATAGCTCTGCTTGTCCATCTTCATGTAGCTGCCTTTCTTTGAGCCGCTGTAGCCCCCATGAGTCTAGAGCGGGGTAAACATATCAGGTTATTTAACTTTACACAAAGCATTATGAACAGAGACTTAGGGGAATAAAGACTTACAGGAGGGGGGGGGTACTGTGGACTGTACTCTCTGTACTTCCTCTTCTCACTGGGACTGTAGTCAGAGTCGTCGCTGAGCTCTGAGTGGTCGTCATCAGAGGACGCATGGCGCTGAGGGAGAGGAAGAAGACTTTTTAGAGAGAAAGTTGTAGACAGCCACAGACTCACATCAGGACCAAAACCCTTACCAGCTGAACACTTTCTTCCCCTCTGCAACCGGCCTCATCAACAAAGGCCCGGCCCCCCCACTGACACTTTCTCTCAGCCACTCCATAGACTTTATGCATTACATTAATGCACACTAAGCAAACAGTATCTTGTTTTGATTTATTAACAACATTTCCATTTCTGCACAACCCTACAAATATCTTGCATATTTGAACATAAGATACCTCTCTTAGTATCTGAACAGTTTTTTTACTTTCCATTGTCCACTTCCTGAGTACTATGTCATAGAAAACTATACGTCGCAATCATTTTCTATATATTAACATATAACAGTTTTTTATAGTTTCTTACAATAGTTTTTATTTGTTGGGTTTTACTTACTTTTTATCTTCTTTAACTGTGTTTATGTATGCACCATGTACACCAAGGTAAATTACTAGTATATGTGAACCTACCTGGCCATAAACCTGATTCTGGATATTTTTTAAGATTAAGACTGAGGGTGAAATACAACAGGGTGGGTCGGTTCTCATCAGTCTTACTTTGTGTTTGGATTTGCGTTTCTTCTTGGCCCTCCTCTTCTCCCTCTCTCGCTCTCTCTCTTTCTTCCTCTTCCTCTTGCGGCGGTGGGACCTCTCCTCGTCTGAGTTGCTGCTGTCGTGGCCCTCCTTACTCCTCCGAGGCCTGTCTGCGGCCCCTTCCCCTACCGCTTCACCTCCTCCTCCGCCTGCTTCTTCTACGCCATCTCCACCTCCTTCTACTGCGACTGCAGACACACCTCCACCAACCTCCTTCTCCTCCACCTCTCCACCATCATCTTCCAGCTCGCCCTCCTCCAGCTCTCCATCCTCTGGCCTGTATATGTGAACAAAAAAACAAATAGGGAGGTTACTAATGTTATGTTTTCTTATGGGATGTAGACGAGCCGGCCCCCTACCTCTGAAGTTTTGGTATAAACATTTGAAAATGATCACTTTATTGTCAAACGAAAATGAATTAAAACTAAAAATGTATATGTAATAATTTGTTTTGAATGGTCGCGGATGAAAACGAGTAGAGGCATCGGACGTTGACTTTTACTCCTCTTTATTTACCTGGCGCTCCTCTTGAAAGACATTATTTCCATTTGTGTGAGTCAGGGTGTGCGAATCAAAAATGTTTTTTAACATTCACAACCTGAATTAGACCCTGGTGCATCATTTAGGCTAAAACTCAACAGCCGGGGTGACACAGTTCATTAGAAAAAATTACTTTTAACTGTTACATTTTGGAAAGGGCCTTCTCTAAATTATTTGAATGTTTTCCTTATAGCACATTTTGCTTTTAAGTGTGAAGATCTGTTAGACTAAACAGCAGCACATTGGGACACTGAACTACGATTGGTGATTTATTTCTGGAGGGCATAAAATGCAAGATTGTTTTTTTTTAGCGCATGTGACTCTACCAGGTGTATTAACACAGCGCTTCTATTACTCACAGATGTTTGCCTGTTTAAACGACTGATAAAATTGCTTGCACAGAAGCCACAAAACATATGAAACCACTTCATACAATCAATGCTTCATAAAGTATATGTAACTAATAAAAAAAGAGCTTAAGGAACAATTACAGAAATCCTTTGCGGTGTGGTTATCATGTAAACCTTCAGTTTGGCCTACACTCCTGCTTGTCAACGCCATCAGCTCAACAAGCTGCCACATGATAATAATACAATAACTTAAAATACAAATTTGCATGCATGCCACTGATTCACATTCATCTAATTTAGAAAAAAAACTACGGCAAATGTGTTGAAGAGAAAAACAGCTTGCAGGCACAGTCTAAACCAGATTTCTAATTGAATTCAAACCATATAGTATAAAAAAAAACTTGGATATTAATTGAATTGCTGCGCAAGCCATCACATCAGGTCATTTGTATTAAATAGTGTGAGCAGGCCTTCTGACAGAGGCTTTTGAAGCACACTCATGCAAAAGGTCAGACCCCAGAAATGTCTGAGGCTGAAGGGGTCCCAATTTTACTGTAGTATTTACGGGACGGGACATACAAGAAATGACACATGTGATGTTACTGTGGTCAACTGCCAGACACAGACCATGAGACCCTAATTGACCCTGATCACATGCAGGCCTCTTTCAGTGACTGGTGGCTATGGGCTAGTTGAAGAAGGGGGGG